TCACTGGGGTTGAGTTGCAGGATCAGGGCTTTGTGGTTCTCTGCCAGATTGGAACCTCCCAGACTGGCGCTGCAGTTTGATTTGCCTGGCAGAGACCACAGATAGCAATGAGGAGAGCCAGCAGCCCCTCCCCCTCTCCAGTGACTGAGCATCTACCTCCCATGCGTAATATCAATGCAAGCATTCGGCTAATCATGGATAGTATTTAGCTCACTCCAAAGTAAGCCACAAGCAACGGATTTTTCCTTCTTGGTGCCCTTGGGGAGAAAGTATGATTTTTCTACATATAGTCCATAAAAGAGACTATATTAGGCCTGTAGAAGGATGATTTTAAAAAGGCACTTTATATCTAGAATGTATAAGAAATTCTTACAATTCAATAATTAAAAGACAACCAATTAAAAATAGACAAAGGACCAGAATAGACATTTTTCCAAAGAAGATCTATAAAAGGCCAGTAAGACATGAAGAGATACTCAGCATCATTAGTCATCATGGAAATGCAAATCAAAACCACACTAGATACAACTTCACACCCTTTATGATGGCTAGAATCAAAACCAGAAAATAACAAGTGTTGACAAGGATATGGAGAAATTGGAATGATCATACACTGCTAATGGGTTTGGAAAATGGTGCAACTACTGTGGAAAAGTCTGGTAGTTTCTCAAAAGATTAAACATAGAGTTAGAATAATCCAGAAATTCCACCCCTAGGCATATCCCCCAATAAATGAAAACAAATATCCACACAAAAACTTGTATACTACTGTTCACAGCAACATTACTCATAATAGTCTAAACATAAACATTTTAAACAAAGGTCATATTGTAAAAATTTCAGATAGTTTTCTTTTAATGTAGATCATAGACACATAGATCAGTGTCATTTTTTAAAATTTACAAGAGTGTTCCTTTGTATGGATTTACCATAACAAAATGAATGATGAAAATTTGTGATTTTTACAACTTTATAAATGCATATATTTGTATATTTTTATGATTATTTCCTAAAGATAAACTCTTAGTAGTGAAATTATTGGTAAAATTATATGTGCTTTCTATATATTTTTATGGACATTGTCATACGGACCTGAATACAATTAGTACTAATTCAAAATTCCACCAAGAGTATTAAATTTTTCTCTGTATTAAGGCCAACAGATATAAAAACTTTGGAAGAAAAAATGTTAAAGACCTCTTGAGAGGAGGTCGTTCCTGTTTTGGTGGAAAAATCTGGTTCAATTTTCTTACCTTCATCCTCAGTCGAGTTCACCTCTGCCAAACATGAGGCAATTAAAAGAGCCAAAGGCAGGAGCCTTCTTACAACCCCCATCTTTGCAAGGGGCTGGGAAGCCTTAACGGCTAGCAGGCTTTTATAGTTTCTGTGATTCCTAACTATCTAGTTTCATAACCCAGAGACCTCCAGGGAAATGCGTCATTTCCAGCCATGCAAGGGGTAGACTGATGTGAGAATATAGCAGCTGTGTGACTGGTTCTTATCAGCAATTCCCAACAGCAAGTGTTCATTCTCCCCAGCCCACTCCTGGAAAGTCTGTACCCAGCAACAGCTCTTCACGGGCATCTCTGGCAGCTGGCACACAGCAGGCACTGAGTAATGCCTTGTGGAATTGACCTGGAGCTATGCCTTTGCCCTATCCCTTCAGATCACGAATGGGGTGGCATCGTTGACATCTGAAGCCTTCACTGCTCTGCTCCAAGAACGAAGGCTCTGGGAGGCCAAAGGATCAGTGGGCGAGGAGGGGCATGGCACCTGGGCAAACTCTGGGTTGAGGTGGGTCATTAGATGCCCTGCCAGGAGGCTGATCCTACGGGTGGAGGGGGAAAAACAGAGGATGAGAAGGAAAAAGAAAGTGCAGGTCCGGGTTCCTCTGCAGGGATTTCTAACTGGTTAAGTCTAGGCTGAAGCAGGTGGATTAGTACCCTGGCATGGTGTTTTGCAGTCAAAAGAAAGGAATCCTTATGTCAATGGTGAGACTAGGAAGAGCAAGCGTGTGTTTGAGTAGGGGCAGGGAGGGAGCTGTTCTCTTTTTGCTTATTCGTTCAGCAAATATTTGTCACTGTCTTAGGGCCTGAGGAATAAAGAAGTGAACATGAGAGGCACGGCCATGCCCTCATGGAACTTGTATTCTAAGTGGAGAGATAGACAACAAAATAAATGAATAATTCAAATAGTGAGAGCAGCTGTGACTATAATCAAACAGGGTGATTTGATAGAGAGAGTGGCTGCCTTGGGGGAATGGCATCTTGAGAAATGAGATCTCAACTAAGACAGACAGATAAGAGGGAGCCATCCATGTGTGACCTGGGCTTAGCAGGTTGCATTTTTGGCAAAACAAAGGGCCAGTGCAAAGGTCCTGAGGCAGGGATGGGCTGGGGCACCTGCAGTATAAGGGAAGGCAGACCAGCTGGCCACTGTGAGTGCAGAGGAGCCAGGTGGGAGGTGAGGATGGGCAGGAAATGGTCAGATGGTGAAGGACTACAGGGCAGAGGATGAGTCTGGATTTTGCTTTGAGCTCAGTTGGAGTTTTTTGAGTGGAGAATGCCACCACTGAGGTTTTCTAACGGTTTTTAAAGAACCCTCTGAGCAGCTCTCTGGTGGTGGGAGGTTGGTGTAGGCTGGATCTCCCAGGGTAAAACCTTCCTGGGTACCCCTCAACCTGTCTGTTATTCTGACTGTGCTACAGCTCAGGACCCCTCCCTGGGCTCTAGGACAATGGGCTTCCTGGAGAGGGCACAGTCCTGCACTGTGACTCAGGGCATCCATTCCTAGTTGGGCCCACACCTGATGCTACAGCAGAAAGGCAGCACCTGGGATGCCAGGAAGTGGTGCTCACAAGGAGTTTGGACATTCTCCAAGGTCCCAGCATGGCTCTGCTTGGTTCCTATCTGCTTAGGCTGGTCATGGACTAGGTGGGGTCTGGGTGTCCTCGTGTGACAGTGAGCAGGGGGCAGGCATTTGGGAGTCGTCTAATTGCCCTTCCCAAGATCAGTTAAGGTTCCAGAAGTTTCCCTGGGGGGAGTCCTTTGTTAGGGAGAATGCTAATGGAAAGTATTTCAAAATGGTTACTTCTCCCCTCCCCCTGGACAAAGCAAGTGGAGGTTTTCTCCAATCTTTGCTGTAAGAATCTGGTGGGGCTTTGGGAGGTAAACCTCCCCCCGAAAAAGTGTACAAGGCACCATACCAGTGGGCTCCCAGGAATTTCTAACTCTCAAGCTACTTTGCACTCGGCCTCCAGCAATTCATCAATGACCATTTTATGCGTTCCTGCCAGTCACTGCTTAAAGAAGACTCGTAATCTCAAGATGGTAAACTGATCTCAGCTGTGATTTTTCTATAGTTGCCTGTTTCTCCAGTTTGGGAATGGCCATTTGCCCTGTGACCTCAATTATCGAATGGATTTTTTTTTTTTTTTTTTGAGACAGAGTCTCACTCTGTTGCCCTAGAGTGAGTGCCGTGGCGTCATCCTAGCTCACAGCAACCTCAAACTCCTGGGCTCAAGCAATCCTCCTGCCTAAGCCTCCCGAGTAGCTGGGACTACAGGCATGTGCCACCATGCCTGGCTAATTTTTGCCATATATTTTTAGTTGTCCAATTAATTTCTTTCTAATTTTAGTAGAGACGGGGTCTTGCTCTTGCTCAGGCTGGTTTCGAACTCCTGAGCTCAAACAATCCGCAGGCCTATCGGATGGATTTTTAAAAAGTTGTTAAATGTTCAGTTTGTTCAGCTTTTTTATTGCCGTGAAGACAGTTGTGATGGCTTCTAACCTGTTTCCATGTCTGAAGTACTAATTTTTGCAATCATTAAAACTAAGACCTTTACAATTAAGGACTTTTAACCTTTTGTATTCTGTACATATCAGATTTTTAGTGGGATTTCTCTCTTTCAATCGTGATAAGTCCACCTAATACAGACTCTGGATAAGTGATTACCTACAGAAAAATACATACATTCATAATTTTGCTGGCACAACGCTACAGGTAAAAAGAATGGAAAAGGGCATTCTATTCTCATTGGTTACATATCCAAATATATTGACTCAAATGAAAATTTAAGAAAAATAGAGTAAGAATTATTTTGTACTTAATTATGAGCTCAGAATACTTAGTACTGAGATAAGATTAATGTGAGGTAAAGCGAAATTCTATTTTCTAGAGAATACTCCAAATACAGGTGTGACAGCCCCACAATACGAAGAAAGCTGACACTCCAATTTTCTTTGAATCTAATTTCCACTTTTTTTCCCCCGAAAAAGGTAACCTTGAAAGAATGAAGAAAGCAGTGTAGTCTCCCTTCCTATCCCACGGGGCGTCTGGAAAATTCCCTGTAGCTACCCCATTTCTCCATCCACACACCCGGGATCTTTCTTGATCATCACCGAGGGCGTCCAAGCCGGTTCCTGCGGCCCGAGGGGGCAGGTGGGCCCCGTCTGGGCCGCGCCATTGGACCAGTCAGGCGGGACCTAACCGCGCCTGGCAAAGACCCACGCGGCCCCGTAGCGCCCACTGACGTCGTTCAACCCCAAACCCCACCATCCAGCTCAACTCCCTTCTGATGTGAGAATGTGTGGGGCGGGGCGAAAGTGGATGAAGAATAAAAATAATAACCCGAATCGACAGCGCGTCCACGGCCCTCGCCGTCCGAAATGCCACACACTGCATGGACCGGCCCGGGAAAGACCCCAGCGTCCACTCGACAGATAAAAGGGTCTAGAGTTGGTCCAATAAGTCTCGTACAGCGACGAGACCACGCCTACCTGACAGACACTACCCACCTGCCCAGTAACCATTGTCCTGTCCTCTCCGTCTACTATTTCCCCACAGCCAACTTCGAAATACCGCCCTGTGCGGGCACGCAGGCCACCGCGCCTGCGCACACTCTCCAGGAGCAGACCGAGGAGCTGTCAGTGCGCATGATCCATCCTTGATCTCCGCCCCGCTGATTTTGTACACCGTTCCGGAAGCCAGATGGCTTGCGCATGCGTGCCTACGGTAGCTGCTTCTGCCCACTTAAAAGCGAGAAGCGGCGGGTATTTGAAGCCGGGTGAGCCGGAAGTCGCCGTGCTTCCTGTCTTCCACGCTGCACTGGTGGAAGCTCAAGTACTGGGAGAGAGGTTCCGGGGCTGGGCTGGCCTGGCTGGAGGCGGCGGAATGGAGACTGGGACTGAAGCCGCGGGACTGAGCCTCCGTCCGACACTGGCCTCTTCCTGGGATTCTGCACGCGGGGCCCTGACCCAGAGTCTCCTTCTCTCCCAGGCTGGTCTCGGCGCC